AGAAATGAAACTCAGTTACAGGAGGGGGGCACCCAGCCAGCATCTAAGTGTCTGAGCCAGAGATGAAACAGGCTGCAGCGCCCATCGCCCATGCTCTGAAACACACATTGCCGTCTGGGTTGAATGACTGGTTAAATGTTCATCTGCTCATCTGCAGTGAGGATGAAAAAGAAAGATACAATTATCTAAATCATGAGCTCCCTAAGGGAAGGGGCTCATCTCTTTCACTGCCCTGTCACCTCTTTCATGGCCAGAAGTAATAATAAGCGGCCCAGTCACAGAGCAGCGGGTGGATACCTGCCTGTGCCCATCACAGTGCCCTGACCAAGTGCCCTAATCATTCACAGGGGGGAAGTGGCGGGGAGGAGAAGCCAGGGAAGCTCCAGGTGGGTCAGGGCTCCCCAGAGCAGACCAAGGACTTGTAAATAGACCCTGAAGAACAGAGGGAGCTCACTCTTTCGGTGTTCTTCACTCCCCTCCCCCCAGCACCCCAACACAGCTAAGCATGTGGCCCCACCCCTTTCAGAGACAGGCAGGCCTCCTCCCCCTCCTGCCCGCAGGTCTGGCTAAGCTCGGCCGGCTGAGCTGCCAACTCCCTCAGGGCGAGGTCTGGGCCTCCAGGGTGGAGGACAAACAGTGCTCGCTTCCCGGAACCCAGGCAGGGGATGGGGGAGGGGCTGCTGACCTCTGAGTCCACGCCCGTCTCGCTTTGCTGTCATTCCCCACCAGCCCTTCCAGAGCTGCCTCGCCACATTCTTCAGCTTCCACAATCAGGGTTTAATCATCACGATCTTTAGAGTCTACTCCTAGCTCCAAAGGTCCCTCTTCTGTGCTCCCTTCCCAAACTAGAGTCAACTCAAAACGGCAGAGGGGCCCCTCACTCTTCCTCCACTCACGAGCCCTCCAACCCAACCTGAAGGCAAGTCAAACTCTCAGGACTAGTGGGGAAAGCGGTGGCCGGCCAGAAAATGGATTTGCTTACTGACCTGGAATCCGTAGCCTGGATCTGGGCCAGAGACCTGCTGCTGCTCCCACCTCCAGCAAAGCAGAAAAACTCAGGGGCAAAGAGGCGGGGCTGGGGG